ACAAAAATCAGAGCTGCCACGTATAGATATTTGGTTGATGATAAATAATTTTTTTCCCCCCCTCTCTCTGATGTCTGATATTATTAGTGGTGCCTGCTAAAGGAAGCATTAATATCACTGTGTTTGTTTGTTTGTTTTTACTGAAATAAATATTTATTTTAATTTATTATTTATTTTTAGTTAACTATTTTTATTTATTGTTTACCAAAATAGTTTTTCTTTTTAGATTTATTTGTATTTAGTTCATTTATCGTTTACTGAAATAACATTTGTTTACTATTTATCTGTTTATTTATTATGTCCATATTTGATGTGTTTACATTTCATTATTTGTTTTTTTTTATTTAGTTGTCTTTCATTCATTGTGTTTACTGAAATTGTTTATTTGTATTCCTTGAATTAATTTTATTTATTGTTTGCAAAAATGTAAATTTATTTTGCTTACCATAATAATTTTAATGTTTATTGAATTTTACATTTGTTTGTTTACTAAAACTTTGAACAAATCACCTATTTGTTATTTTTATTTACTTTAATTGTTTGCTGAATTTTACATGATTTATTTATTATTGTGTTTACAGAATGTTGCATACAATTATAAAGTTAAATCATTACTACTGATAGCAGTCTTCACTAAAACATGCAAACACTGAACCGATTGTTGCTCTCTTTTTTTTTCGTAGGCAGTCTGCTGTAAAGACATGAAGCACTGTTGCCCTGTGGGATACAGATGTGACCCAGAAGTCCAAGGCTGCACTAAAGCCTCCACATCCATGTGGTGGGAAAATGCTCTAGATTTATTTGTATTTAGTTCATTTATCATTTACTGAAATAACATTTGTTTACTATTTATCTGTTTATTTATTATGTCCATATTTGATGTGTTTACATTTCATTATTTGTTTTTTTTATTTAGTTGTCTTTCATTCATTGTGTTTACTGAAATTGTTTATTTGTATTCCTTGAATTAATTTTATTTATTGTTTGCAAAAATGTAAATTTATTTTGCTTACCATAATAATTTGAATGTTTATTGAATTTTACATTTGTTTGTTTACTAAAACTTTGAACAAATCACCTATTTGTTATTTTTATTTACTTTAATTGTTTGCTGAATTTTACATGATCGATTTATTTATTATTGTGTTTACAGAATGTTGCATACAATTATAAAGTTAAATCATTACTACTGATAGCAGTCTTCACTAAAACATGCAAACACTGAACCGATTGTTGCTCTCTCTTTTTTTTTCGTAGGCAGTCTGCTGTAAAGACATGAAGCACTGTTGCCCTGTGGGATACAGATGTGACCCAGAAGTCCAAGGCTGCACTAAAGCCTCCACATCCATGTGGTGGGAAAATGCTCTTTAAATGAAGAACCACAGACTGACACTGAACCACATGCCCATAACACAGATATACACACACACTCGAGTGCTCCGACTTGCTACATGTTGCATAAAGCGTTGTTTTTAAGATGCCCTCTTCAGACAAGGGACTATACATCTAGCTTTTTTTAATGTCTAGTATTTTTCTGGAATAAAAATGTGCTGAACCTTATATTTAGGCAGGATACACTGAGAGACTTTAGAACTGATGATTGTGTGATTTTTAGCAGAAATGTAATTTGCCCAAAACATCAAAGTGATAATCGGAGGCTAAATGACACATTATTATATCGTAAATGTTATTAGGATGTGGATTTTATGTTTTGAATTACATTACCATGATAATAATGACACACACAAACCGTAAGTGAGAAAAGCTACTGAGATTCAAAACTGAATGTATCACCAGTGAACTAAACCTACCACTGAACCACAAAAGAAACTTGTGAACTTTTATTTCATTTAGTTTTTTCATACTCGAAACCTGATTGGGGAAATGAATTAATGGATGATGTCAACCTTTTAACCCTATAATTTACTTCTAGGCTGTTGCATGTAGGGTTAATTTTTCCATTGCTTTTTTAAAAATGTTATTATTGAATTGTTCAAAGGTGTCGGTGTGCGCTCCGACTTGCTACATGTTGCATAAAGCGTTGTTTTTAAGATGCCCTCTTCAGACAAGGGACTATACATCTAGCTTTTTTTTAATGTCTAGTATTTTTCTAGAATAAAAATGTGCTGAACCTTATATTTAGGCAGGATACACTGAGAGACTTTAGAACTGATGATTGTGTGATTTTTAGCAGAAATGTAATTTGCCCAAAACATCAAAGTGATAATCGGAGGCTAAATGACACATTATTATATCATAAATGTTATTAGGATGTGGATTTTATGTTTTGAATTACATTACCATGATAATAATGACACACACAAACCGTAAGTGAGAAAAGCTACTGAGATTCAAAACTGAATGTATCACCAGTGAACTAAACCTACCACTGAACCACAAAAGAAACTTGTGAACTTTTATTTCATTTAGTTTTTTCATACTCGAAACCTGATTGGGGAAATGAATTAATGGATGATGTCAACCTTTTAACCCTATAATTTACTTCTAGGCTGTTGCATGTAGGGTTAATTTTTCCATTGCTTTTTTAAAAATGTTATTATTGAATTGTTCAAAGGTGTCGGTGTGTATTCTTAAAAATCTTTCGACTGACTGAAAGCGTTCATATTCAAGTGTCATTCTCAAAATTAGCTATAGGTGCTTTTGTGTTTAGTATATTTTTCTCATTTTAATATTTACTGAAGGGTGAAATGAATCTAGTTGATTACCTGTGACAGAATGAGAGTTGATTTATTCTCCCCCCCCCCTCCCCCCCCCCACCTGAT